TGCACGATCATAACAACCTTCAGCTACACTCACATATTTGAATACATGCGCATACACACCCATTCACACACTCACTCATTCTTAATTTGTAACACTAAATTTATTATTATTTTGTTTTTTTAACTGTTTTAAACATGTACCACGTAATAATTATTGTTTTCTAGTTACCCACAACACAGGGCCTCCCTAGTGTGGGGACTAGCGTAATGCGTATGAATTCTGTCACAACCCTTTTGTCATAAATTAAGTTTTTATTATTTATTAATATTTATGGACGACAATACTCGCCAGCACCGTTATGACGACGTGGAAGCGTAGCGTGTAAGAAGTTGGTATCCGTCGTTTAGATTGCTGCAGCTCGAAATCCTGACCTCAAATCCAATTGAGCATGTCTGGGATGTCTAAAAAGACGAGTAAGATCAGTGCAACCTGTTCCAAAAAACATCATGGAGCTAAAAAGTGTAATTGCAGAAGAGTGGGAACGAATTCCTCAAAACGTTATAAAACCATAGTAGAAAGCATTCCCACCGCTGCCCAAGCCGAGGTCCGAGTCTTGCAGGAGACACCCTTGCGCTAGTCGCGGGAAACCGCTCATTCCGGCCGAGCTACGCTCGCCAAAACAGCCCGAGCTGAGTTATAAAGGCCCTTAAGGCCAATAGATAGATTCCATTTTTAAAAAATGCCCAGAAGGATTCATGCTGTGCTCTTGGCAAGAGGAGGTCACTCTTGCTATTAGGTTTCACATTTGTAACTTTATTTAATTTTAAAAAATATTCTTGTCTTTATTGCCGACCAAACATCGGTTTTAAATAATTCATCAAAATTAATTAAAAAATGGCAGAATTCACTTCACGCGTATTTCAGTATATTCTTTGCAAACGAGTTTACATACAAAAGGGTGAGGCCAAGAGGAGAGGTTGCGAAATCACAGACATGCTTTTAATAGAGTAGATAACAAGGGGGTTAAATATAATGATCACCATAAAATGCTTTGATACCCTTAGTTCTTTTACCAAAAATATATACTTAACACCAGATAAATAACGTCTAAAATTACAATAGTACTAGCTATTTTAGTCACGACTGCACTTCAAATTGTATTCGAACACCAAATGTAGTAAATGATCACCAAATCTTAGCGAGCAAATTAATGCGCTATTTTGCCTAAATAAACCACTATGATTGACATAAAATGTAGGCTTATTACCAAATGAAGATTATGATGAATTAAGTTATGTCTGGGCTTACGATCCTCTCCCACCACACCGCAAGCGCCGCGCACGCCCGGACAGATCGCCAATTTAGTGGTGCGAGCACTTGTTTTATTGGGTGTGTTTGGTATCTATCTTTTGAATGGCGAATGAAAACTTAGGGACGAGTGGGGTGTTGAGTACTTCATGGAATAGATGAAGACGAATAATTATTCGGCAAAAATAACAAAATATTTTTTTGCCGAGGGTAATTTACTTTAATCGGATAAAGAGATTTTATTTTTTTGCATTTATTTTAAATTAAAATATGGTTAATAATTTGTTTTATTAACTATTTTTGGGCTAACAATGATTTTTTGAGCCAGTTGTAAATAGGATAGAAGATGTAAACTTTGGTATAATTTTAATTAAAATTGTTTTAATTGGAATTACTACTTTTGGGTTAAAAATATTGGAGTATTTTGAAAAGGAAGAGATTAAAATTAGGTTGTAATTTTACATTATGGGGTTTAATTGGTAATCATTTATATTTAAGAACTGGGAAGATAACAAGTAATGTTCAGAGAAGCCGCATGGTTACACGCTTCATTGCAATATCCTATCCGTGGTCATACATGACGAAGCCATTATAACTAAAAACTAGGTCAATTCTAGACTTCTAAACACTATATTAACTTCCTGTGCATTGAAATGTAATTTTAAGGTGTAAGTAACGGCACGGCATTTTGCTGGTGGAAAGTTTGCGCATGTATTTGAAAAGGAAAAAGATTTGCATCGGCTTCTGCTTATTGGGGGGGCAATTTAATTATTAAGGGTGACAATTCGAAAATTCGGGCTCGGCGTTTTTCATAATATATTTTGAGAATTTATGTACTGTGGTCCGTTTCCAACTCCCAAGTTTTATATTTCAACCCCGAAGTCCTAGTGGTTTCTTTCTAAACCCTATCATTTAAGTTATTTAAGTGTACAATTCAATTTTTAATATTAAACATGCTAAAAAATTTATGGTGGGCTAAGGTGGGACATGGCTCAAAAAAGGTAGAGAAACACTGCTAGGCATTAGTATCCCATAAGATTTTTATTTTATTTAATTCGGCATAATGCAAGTATCCGAAAATTTTTTTTTTTTATAGAACGGGGGCATACGGGCAGGAGGCTCACCTGATGTTAAGTGATACCGCCGCCCATGGACACTCTCAATGCCAGAGGGCTCGCGAGTGCGTTGCCGGCCTTTTAAAAAATTGGTACGCTCTTTTCTTGAAGGACCCTAAGTCGAATTGGTTCGGGAATACTTCAGTGGGCAGCTGGTTCCACATAGTGGTGGTGCGCGGCAAAAACTGCCTTGAGAAACGCTCAGTTGTGGAACGTCGGACGTCGAGGTGATACGGGTGGAATTTCGTATTCTGCCTCGACGTCCGATGATGAAACTCAGCTGCAGGTATTAATCCGAACAACTCCTCTGAACACTCTCCATGGTAAATGCGGTAGAAGATGCAGAGTGACCCCACATCTCTACGCAACGCCAAAGGATCAAGCCGCTCGGAGAGGGATTGGTCGTCGACGATTCGAACCGCTCTGCGTTGTATACGGTCAAGTGGAAGGAGCTGGTACTGGGGAGCCCCCGCCCAGAGGTGAGAGCAGTACTCCATGTGGGGCCGAATTTGCGCTTTATATAGTTGCATGCGGTGGCCCGGAGTGAAGTACCGTCTCGCCTTGCTGAGCACACCAAGCTTTTTGGAGGCTAATTTAGCCTTTCCCTCCAAGTGACCGCGAAACTGAACGTCGCTCGATATGTCAACGCCAAGTATTCCAATGCTGGCTGTGGCTTTAAGAAGAGTGTTTTCGAAAAGAGGAGTAGCGACAAAGGGTGTTTTAAATAAGCAAACTGCAGACAGTGGGGCAGAGGCGGTGAGTTTTATCTGGCTAGTTGATCTTATTATAATTTTTTAGATCTTAGTAAAATAAAAGATAACGGTTACTAATGCAAAAGGTAATGTTTACGACAGTTAAATTCACGGCGCTACACCCTATAGGTCTGGACCTCAGATTCCAGTATCCGCTGCGTGATATATTTTTTTCTAATAGTAGGTGACCGGCCTTATATGCCCGACCCACGCTGTCTATTTTTTGGGTCTAAGGCGAGTAACCTCTCGATGCCTTCACCGTACGAGCGAGTATTACATACGGATGATAGATAGATGAGCTCTAGACACAGAAAGTCCACTGTTACAGTTGGGTTCGAACCTACGACCTCAGGTATGAGAGTAGCACGCTGAAGCCTCTAACACTGCTCAAGATTTAAAAAAGTTCACATTAGATTCAACGGATAACTTTCCTTTGAATCAACTAAGGAGCTGAAGTTCTTAGAAAATACCGAATTTATCTATTATTAAGATAATTTGTTTTACTGAATGGTATAGTTATGGTCAAACGTTAACTAAAATCTTAAGTTTTTATACACAAGTGCAATCTATCTATCGTCAACTTCGTCGTGGGAATCGAAGGGTGGACCTTTCTCTCAAGGGATTCGCCACCTTGCTCCATGTTACTTCACACTTAAATCTTAATTAAAACATCAATTACTTTGTATAATCGAAAACACTTTTAATTTTATTTAAAGCTGCGTGATCTAGCAAAACAATTTCGTTTCAACACATTCATATCTAAAAAATATATCATTTTCAGAGCGACATCTTCAATGAACTTATTATTTGACCTGTATTTTTTCCCAAATATAAAAAATGCTGCTACAATTTCAGTTTCACCTCAAATTTAATACATTCCGATTTTCTCACGATGTTTTCCTTCAGCGTATAAGCAAAGATTAATAACGCATTTAAAATGTTCATATTGCTGTTATAGTAATCCAACCTAGGCGTATGTGTCGTAGAAAAATATATCAATAAACTGGAGAGGAACCAAATAATTAATTATCAAATTAAATAGTACCTACTGGAGAACCCTTCCCAAAAGACGCCGCCATATCCGACAGTCCACATATTTCATAGTTGTTCAATAAGATTAAATAAACAAAGGCAAAATTATGAGGTTTTTTATACAGAACTGTACAGATATTTGGCGACACAATCCCACATGATATTAAGTGAGACTTGGCCTATTGGAGGACACACCTGTCCAGGAGATGCCTATTCAACCGCCGAATGAACCCAAATCATACTGTTTAGGGAAGATGGAAGGGGGCCAGGGGTTCCACTCCTTTGCTGTTTTTATAATAAATTGCTTGACGAACCAAATCATGCAGTACGACATTTGGGGATGTCGACAACGAAGGTGTGAAACTCCAGCGTGCTACTAGATGAGCAGAGATTGTTTGAAAGGGGATGACGGAATCAGTGTGTAGTTGTTTGATGTAGTATTCTCCGGAGTTCAATCAATCTAAGTTCAAACTGAAAGGCGCTGGTCAAGACTCAAAAGTTGAGATTCAACCAGTGATATGTCGTTTTTAAATCGACTGGAGATTGATTGATCATCAAAGTTACCCAACAATCGCTATGTTCAGATTCATGTAACCTAAACTAACCACTCGATTCTACCTTTTGTCTAAGAGTGCAGAGTGTTAGATACACGACCTGCACGTAATCATTGGTCGTAGTTCCATAATATAGTATTCTAATAATTTTAGTAAAACCAATAATGTACAACTGTAAGGTCAGTGGACTGTACTTACTGCGCAGGAGTTGAAACTGAAAAACGCTTACACGTACAGTTAAACGCTGAAACTAGGGTTGTTAAGTCGTGTACCTTCTTAGTTTATATTCGTTCGTAAAAATGGAATTTATTCGCACAAATTTTCTAATTCAAGATGAAGAAACACATTTTAACACATACCCAGAGATTAATTACAATTATGATGATTTTTGTCCTAATTTTCTGCAAGTTTTTTACGAGAGGGCTAATGAGAGGTGCGATGAGGGATGGGATTGGCAAGTGTGGCAGAATGAGATGAAGGAGGAGACTGAATCGACGAATTTGAGTTACAGTGAAGAAGGTGAGCTTTTCGTTATTATTTTCATTCTGAATACCTGCTTACCTGTTGTTGTATCTGTTTTTCTAGTTCTACGTCAACTGTAATAATAATAATAATAATAGCCTTTTAATTCAGATACATTTAAACACGTTTCTATTTCAATCTTCTTTTAGGTGCCATTTTTTGGCAAAGGCCTCCTCCAAATCCCGCCATTCCTCTCTACACTGTGCCACTCTCTGCCATGCACCTTCTGTTTCTTTAGTCAACCATATACACGTTGGTAAAGTTCTTGTCTTCATTATTATACAACTTTTTTATTTAATCTTCTTTGTAGGAATTAGAGAAATAAAATACAAAATATGTCATTTTGTATTTTATTTCTCTAATTCCCTGAACAATCCAACATTTAATTCAGTAGTTTTATGTTGTTCAAACATAACTTATATTTCTTGTTTAGATAATCATGGCTTTATGTACATTATAAACCATTACACAAAACAGAAAAAAAATAAAACACTACAGGAAACTTAAAACTTAATTTAATGTTAAAAACATTAAAGGTAAACAAACAAATTATGTTTATTATGTTTCTTAATTCTTAATGTTACATCTTTGGTCTGCGAAGTCGGCACGGCTTTAAATACAGTAGAACCTCTATAAGTCGAACATCAAGGGAGACGCCAAAAAATTCGAGTTATAGAGTTTTCAACTTAAGAAGGATTTCGACTTAGGCGGATTATGATTCGACATAAAGAGTTTGAGGTTTTATTCTTATAAATTGAACACCTGACACAAAGCAAGCAGACACGTGTTTCCATGAGTCATAAATTTATTATTGTATACTCCTAAAATGTTTTCTAAGAAACAATAGTGTACTCACATTGGCGGCAAGTTCTTAAAGTCGGTAACTTATTTTTGTTCGAACAATAGAGATAATAAATTCCAAATGATCAAGTTGTAAAGGTTGTAAAATAAAACGTTCCTATGTTCGAGATACTTACAAATTTAATTTTTCGAGTTATAGAGTGAAAATATGTACCAAAATGGCTTGGAGGGACTCGGTGACTATTTCGATTAACAGAGGGTCAAGATTTCAAGTAATGGAGGTTTTGGTGTTTTAAGGGAAGGGAACAAAACATTTTTTCGAGATTTGGAGGTTTTTGACTTATCGAGGTTCGACTTAACGAGGTTCTACTGTAATATACGCCCAAACAAGAGTTATGTAACCTAACGTAAGTTAAGTTACATATATATTATTTAATAATTAGAATTAATATATGTGCCGTTTAGTTTTTCATACACTCATACATTGTAATATAAAATTCTCGTTGCCGATAATGTCCAATAGGTCGACTACACTTATATTGAAGTGTCACAGATTTAAGAACCCTTGTTAGCGTCGCAACCCCTAATTTTATATTAGCTCATGTTTTAAACGATTGATGCATGTTGACATCCAGTTTCAATCAGTTTCATATATTTGAACATCCCTCTAACAATCACCCCCGAACTTAACTCACGACAACATTCTTAAACAGCTCGAAGTTCAAATCGCGTTTTAATATTAATTATTTTAACTTGGAGCTCTTCTAATCAATCATTAAATGCAAAATGCACTGTAAATGAAAACATGTGCAGGCGCCGGCGCTAAATTGTTTACAATTTACAACAGTTATAGTTTTCCTGTGCAGGTGGATTTTATTGCCATAATTCTAGATAGATAAACTAGTTTTCGAATATGGATTCGCTTGTGATTGTCTTTCAAGTAAGTCATGGCTTAAATCTTGTGACACGATACTATCGCATTTTTTAAATACTTGTGTAAATCTATAGACAATTATTAACGCACACTAAATCTTATTGGGAATATTAAAAGGTATTGAATGGTTTTTTAAGACTATATTAAAATCATGTACAAGAGTTCAAATATAAAAAATGTCATTCCTAAATTTAGAAATCCTAATGTAATTGAAAAAAAATTACACTATTCGTTATGTATTACCTCCTAAAATCAGACAATATTTGAAGGAAATGCATTTACCCATGGGTGTACTCTAAAAACAATTATTAATACTGTTAACTTAATTTTCACTTTTAAACATACAACTTAAATGGAGATGGGCAGGGCATGTAGCGCGTTATATAGATCACAGATGGTATAAAACAGTAACCGAATAGACTGGTCGAATATGACTGAACAAATGCAGACCAGAGCGATGGGCCGACGGGATCGAAAGGGTTGCTGGAAAAAATTGGATGACCATGGCACAAAATAAAATAGGGTGGTCTTAGAGTAGTAATTTTTTTATTTATATCTGTTTCTGTTAAATATATGTCAATAAGATTTGGATGAATAAACCCTATTATTTTTATTAACCTAATTTAAGCAAGTTGCTAATATTACTTTTTATTTCTAAAGTACACCACATCATACATAATACATATTCTACAGTTTGAATTCTAAAGTTCTTAAATACATTACAATTACGGTGGACATCAAATTTACAAAAATAATAAACGTATTACACTTCCAAAAGAGAGAAGAAACAATTTAACTATAAATTTTAGTATTATTTAAAATACTCCTTCACCTAATACGGCAGGTACAAGTGCGTTACAACGCTTTTTTCTTTTATTGCCCACTATCGATTATATCAAGCTCTGAATAAGTAGCATTCCTTCTGTTGTATTGAAGAATGAGAAATGCATCAACTCCTTGTTTGGTTTTTAGAGACAGAATTTAGAAGATTCTGTTAATTTTGAACCTAGGGAATGAATAACGGACGACAATGTCAATATTCTGTTCTGTATTTGAACATTTAACGTTTTTATAAGAACGTAACACCGTCTTGAGATCTCCGATCGTAGTGACATTTTAAACGTACTAATAACTCATAAATAGTGAAATTGATCCACTGTAAAAATTAAAAATGCTAAAAAAAAAATAATAAAACATAATTATGGCAATAATTATGTTTTATTACGTTCAGCGAAATAAATTCACCTTTATATTTAACTATGAATACAATAAATTTAACCCAACAATTGGTAATTAAAATTGTATTCTTTGAAAATCTTTCAAAATTTGCGCTGCCTTATATGTAATTTGTACTGATTTTTACAACTAAGTGTTAAATTATATCTTTATCAAAATACATATTTGAAACCTCGGTTTCAGCTTCAAGTTGAATTTATTTTAATACTTAGGTTTGTTTCAGATGTCCTGTCCCCAGCAGTAACACGAAAAGAGCGTACAGCGTTCAGCAAAGCACAAATACAAAGTCTGGAGACAGAGTTTGCGCGAGCCAATTATCTTACACGATTGCGAAGATATGAAATTGCAGTCGCACTCAATCTAACTGAAAGACAGGTACATATCATATAAATATACTATTCATATTGTAAGACGTGTCAGATTCATACACAAACACATCCTTAAGTGTCGTCAGACTTGCTCGTGAGGAGACGAAGTTTTGGGCACTTTTGTCTCTTTCTGTCAAATATAATTTACGCTGCGATAAAAAGAAATTTATTTAGCAAAATTAAAATTTGGGGTAAATTTAAACTATTTAGAATTAATTTTTTAGAAAGGGTTTGTTGACACGAATGGATGGTGTAAAATCAATATGAATAAAGAATATCGACTTTTAACGTTGAAGTTCCGAACACTACTAATTCGGAACTATTTAGGACTTTATACTAAAAGTTTAGTAATTTTTTTAGAACTGTACCTTTGCAATGAATCTATTTCTAATATATTTAATGGAGTGTTCTATAACCGAGATGTTTAATTTTTAGGTAAAAGTTTGGTTTCAAAACAGAAGAATGAAATGGAAACGCACTAAAGGAACTAAAAACGCAAAGAGAAAGAACTAATTTACAAAAAAAAATATTTTTATTAAACTAATAAATATTTTGGACTCAACTCCTGAATAAATTTAGCGTTTGCAGCGTAACATCCATCATCACGGTTAAAAGCCTCACAAACTAGATCTTGAAATTGGTATTCAGATGTTATTAGGTCCATTCATATGAAATTGGCGTTTTGTATGGGAGGAACAAAAAGTAGAATTTTTTAAATAGAATATATTTAATTAATCAATGAATGTACCAATGCTATCTATGCACTTTTGCCATCTTATATGTTGTTCATTTACATCCCCCCTTTACTAAAAAAACCATTTGGACGGAAATCAATAAAACCTTTGAAGGCGGTTTAGACTGCCCCATCCAAGTTGAATTTTTTACCTTGCAAGAAGTTATCCAAATTTCAAAAATAACGGGATTTTTCATGTTTTCTATTTTATACAGTGAGGCAAAGAAAAAAAATTAAAACGGGAAAAACAAATGTAATGTAAACAAAAGTAAATAGCTGTAAAAATTTAATTTGGGATTCTTAACGAAAGAGGAGATATTTTAGGTCAATGTGGCCAATACGAAAAACGCCAATTTCATATGTAAGGATATTCTATATTATATAACAATAAAATATTTTTTTCAATTCACCCATCTTTTAATTCCCTGTTGAATTAATGTTTGCGACTTCAAGGCTGTGGATATTGATAGTCATCGCAATTGGACTTCGTCATTTGGGAGTGCCAATGTCAATTGTTAACAAATTATCGGTAGGTAAGTTAAAAAAACAAGAAATCATGAGATAAGGATATGTTTATTACACAAATTCATACCTCGGGCGCGGAACAACCGGCCTGACTGTAGAAACTAAACCAAAATACAATATTGTAAACTAAAAAGCTATCTTTGGAAGAAACTAAACATTGGGCGGTGGCAGCCATTTTGTTCTGAGCACAGATTATCAAACTTCCAAATACTAAAATAGTTATATAACAATTTTTACGTGTTAGGGTGATTGCTTACTTCAGAATATTTACATTTCTACCAGCCGTATACAGAACGTGAATCAAGCTTTAATCTAGTTTCGAGATCTGTCAAAAGTGACACTTTTGACAGTGCTCAAGACTTGATACGTTTTGTAATACGAGTCCAAGTCAATAATTAAAGTTGAAATTGCGCTCGTAATGAACACCATTCATGCTTAGGATACAACAGAATTCATGTTCATATATATAAAATAGATTATCTAAAAGCGAAAATAGGTACTTATTTGAAGAAATATTTACAGATAATTGAAAGTTCTGTTTTCAGATGCGTTAAAGAATATAACATTCAGGTTGCTATAAGCCAAAGAGACATAAATATATAATCAATAAAGCGGGCATTATAGACGAAAATCGAAAAAAAAAAAGGTTATATTCATTCTAGTATGAGAAAACATGACATAAGATTTGTATGTATCCAATGCCCGCTCTATATGAAATCTCCTTGGCAGGAATACATTTGTCAATATATCGCAAAAATGGAAAGAATTAGTTATAAGTAACGTGTAAGCAACCCCCTACCACACCTGTAACACCTAAATGTAAACTTGGACCATACTCTAATATATAGAACCAAAATAAAATACTATTATATCCATATTCAACAATATTATAACGCATTTACTTAGAATCAACCATGAGTAATATTTACAATGTTCTGACAAAGAGGCACTATTAAAGAATTTATGTACTGACATTTCGAAAATATTTGGTCGGGGTTTTATGTTAGGTGAATATTGTCGAATAACACGGTACGATTATGGCGCCCAAATTAATCTAGCTTACGGAGTAGCTCCGGTTTCAGGGGCGTTTACTCAAAAATACTTATACATATTATGAAATTGTACAGGAACAAATTCAACAATAACATAGCAAATTCATACTGGAGCCACATTCCGGTGCTTTTGTTTAATCCCGAAACACTAGATCTAGGGCTTTCGCCTTTGGGCGTTGATGACATCGTACCATGCGATTTGGTTGATCGGTGCGCTTAACTAAGTGATACATGTATTAGTTTCTATGAAACATTAATTATTATGATAACATGGAAAAATATGTTTTGAGTGATATATTCATAATTATTATTATATTCCTTGATTGTTTTGAAGTCATTACACTGCTACGCTATCATAAGGAAGGCCTGATTGCATCGAAACATGCCAAAAAATATGGAACTGACATTGAGCAAATTTGCACATAAATTTTTATACATACAACCCTAATATACACTGCACATATTGCAGTTTATGATTATTCTGTTATTTTGACATATGTCAAATATTAAAGTATGTATTAAACATAAATCTATATAAGATTGGTGTGTTTTTCTGTCAATATGAAAAACAAGCCTGCACATTTCAAGGAACTAAAATGGACCTATCTAAACCTAATTTGAAATGTCTTTTACTACAGATAGGAATATAATAATTTCAAAACAATCCACTACACAATTGTCTATAACGCAAATGATATGAAGCTGATGAATTTTTGTATGAAAATAAATTATAAATGCATTTTTGATCCTGACTAGACAATTTTGAATGTCAAAATCTTATTAAACTAAAGGCGATTTTTATATTTATACCGAATATTATGTTTCGTCAAGAGATAATGACTAATATTTAATAAGTATCATATAATAATTTTGAACAAAAATTACACAATGATTTAAGTGTCAATGGTCGCTATAAAAATTGTTGATGTGAAATAAATAATAGACTTCATACCATTTGCGGCGGCGTATTCACAGCTCGATAATATTTACAAATAAGGCTTCTTGGCTCTCACTATTGCGTTCAATCGTCACACGCGAACAAAACCACTAACTTCACTATAGTTTCACTATTCACTATCACTTTTTCACAATCCACAACGGTTTTGCCGAGTCCGGTTGTTATACAACCAAAAAGTACAGGTTTCGTTATGGTCTACTGTCAGTCTGGGACGGGGCCGTCGTGACGACCGGCACTATTTGCGGGACAACCTGCGGGATCACGGTTAGGGATTTCGGTATTTTGGGGAGTGACATCGAATTGTCGACTGCCGTCAGCGGCTTCACGGCGTTGGTTATAATCTGTGGCGTCACGACGGAGAGGGGCTGTGACGTCACTAGAGATAGGGTTTGTGACGTCATAGTCGACGTTTTAGGCGGAATCGGGGCGATGGTGATGTTTTTGAGACCGACGTTTTTAAGTATCGTGGCGGCGTTTGTAGTCAATTGGGCGTCAGTCTTCTCATCCTTCTCGGTGGTTATATTTTGGACCACCGTGCCTCCGTTCCCGAGCATTGCGGAGGTCTGGACCTCTGTGACTACGGACGTCTCCTCGGTTGAGGGTTTAGTGGACTTCTTCTCGTGAAGCCGTTGCTGTCTCTCTTTCCGGATGAGACACATTTTGTTATAGTCCTCGAAGGATATGTGGTATCGGTTCCCTGATGATATAACTTGCACCAAGCTTGGCAAGCTGTGACCGTCGACGGCTGTTTTCAGCGGCTCTCGGGCTATCTTTGCCACGTTCTCCTGGAATACAGAGAATTTATTATTTTAGCTATATATATATATATATATATATATAGCTAAATATTAAATCATATATATATATATATATGATTAAAAAGAATTGACTTTCCTTATATTTTTTGGTTCAATAAAAATAAATATATACTATAATAAAAAATAGGGGTTGATCGTAGAGGGGTGACAATTACGAGTTGTATGTATTTGTGTATATGATAAAAAAATAAAAAAAACCAAAAAGTTTTGTCTTAAAAAATAAAAACTTAGGGGGATGAAAAATAGATGTTGTCTGTTTCTCAGACTTACTGAATATGCATAAAAAATTTCATAAGAATCGGTCGAGCCGTTCCAGAGGAGTATGGGAACGAACGACACGAGAATTTTATATATTAGGTTATGAGTTGTAATATGTTTATATGACGAGACACAGTTAAAGATATTACCTGAGTTATGGGCATCAGTGTAGGTCTCCAACCCTTGTTATTAGACTTTTGTTTCTTAGGCTCTTTCCTTTCTTTCGGTTCCTTCGGTGTTTCCTTCTTTTCCTTCTGCTCTTTAGGGGGTTCCTTCTTTTCTTTTGGAGGCTCAAACTTCGGTGGGGGCAAAGGGGCAGCGGCCACTTCTGTAGGGTCCGAGGCCGACACGCCCTTGACCAATTGTTGAATGTTGTGCAATACATTTTGTATGGCCTTCCTTCCTTGAGCATTTGGTGTGTTAATAGCTATTAATTCTGGGGGCAACTGTTTAGTTTTCTTCGATTTGGGGGAAGGTTTTGTAAAATCTGGAGGCGGCATGAATTTCTTTTCAGGGTTTTGGCTCGATTTCAGCAAACTCTTTCCGTTCACCGACGGTTTCTTCCGGAATTCGATGAGACTGGACGTCTTCGGTGTTTCGGCCGGAGTCGCTACGTTATCGTACGCCTTCAATCGTTTTTGCATGGAATTACTATAGATGGCGGCGTGAGGGGATGCATTATGCGATAAAATCAAGTCCCCACTCCTGAAGTACTTCTCCAACAAAATCAGATGTCGTAGGAAACTCGATTGGTTTCCGTAGGGCCTCTGTAGTTCGTTCCACAACTTTTTCGTTTCCACATCGAATTGTATAAGAGAATTACACTTCTCCCAGCCCGCTGGAGTGACCCCCTTCACGTTATTAAACTCAACATTGCACTGAAGGTTCATTTCTTCTTCGCCAGGGAATAATTCTCGTACGGATATGGATGGATTTGTTTCTAGTCTCTTGACTGGATTTGAGTATTTTGATTCCGAAGGCTTCTTCGGATCTTTGTCGACCTTTTTAGACAGCTCGCTGAGGTTCTTCTTGACTTGGCTGAAGCTTTCTGACAACTGCCATTTGTTCTTCAATGTATTGATATCGGCCGGTCGTTTGTTTGGTATAGTCTCGATCGTACATTCATCGTTTAGGGAAATGTTTTTAATTACGTCTTCTGACTTGTCCGCCTCGAATTCTTCTATTTCAGTCTCTTTCTTGGGTTTCTCCTTGTGCGCGACAATCTGACCGAGCTTTTGTATCCTCTTAACATTCTTATCGGAAATTCTGTGCTGCTGTCCAACTTTTTGTATGCCAACATTCTGCACTTTAAGTATATTCCGGCTTTTCTGTGTGAGATTTAAGTTTTGGAACCGCGCTGGATTGTTTTGTTTCTGTAGGAGGTATCGTAATTCTGTTTGTTTGTCCACGCCTATCATTTGAGTCTCATCTACTGCCATTTCTGATTCGGAGCAGTCACTTTGGGCCGATTCGGGTGGCTTCGCTCCGGGAACTGGTATCTTATTGGATGATATGAGGCTCTCTATATCTTCCTCTAAATGAGTATTCTTATGCGGTTCTAATTCTTCCATTAACTTCTCTTTTTCTGGCGAGCTTTCTGTTGTTCTTTCGGACGATTCACTCGTTTCTGGTTCAGTGGATTTGCGTTGCTTTATCTTTATTTTGGTTTTCTTTTTCTGTCTGTTGGCAACATTGTTGCAGTCTTCTAATGCGGAGGTGTCTTCAGTCTGTTGTTCCAACTCGGGTGGTATGTCTACATTGTAGATCTCAAGCAATCTGAAAATTCAAAAAATAAATTAGGCCTGCAACACAAAAGATCAATAATGTTATATATTCTTAGGTATGTGTAAACATTGGAATATAAAACAAAATAAAATACTTACTTCCGTCGGTAAGCTCTGGCGTGGTTATCATTATGGCCGGGTCGTTGTAGCAAAGTGCAGTAATACCGACACACCTTACAAAGAACTGGTCTTTCGGTGAACTGCACGGGAATTCCGGCTTCTTTTAGCATTGGGTTCAAGTCTGTGTAGCCCTGGAATTTAGAGTTTATTTGTCAATCACTATACATTTAAAACAAGTCTAATTTAATTCGTAGGAATTCGTGGAAATTAGCAAACACGCTAGTCTACGGTGCCTTTAAAGAAATCTTTCAAAATGTGCTCGTTTAGTCGAAAATCATATTGAAAGCCTTCTTAAAAGTTACCTCCTAACAGCTGACTACTTTGATATGCTGACGTAGTGTTTTCTATTGCTAATAGAATTATAGGTCGACAAAAGCAAAGAGCCATACGTTTTTGTGTTTTTTTTTACAATAATCTAATTTATAATATTAAACAACAAACAAACAATTATACAGTCTAACTCGAACCTCGTTAAGTCGAAATCATATTGAAAGTAAGTCGTAAGTCGAAAAATTGCAATTCCCTTCCGCTGAACCCTTAAATTATTTAGGCTTTGTAACTAGAACAAAATGTTATTTCCCTACGAAGTATTGATAATACATTTTTATATTCTACTAGCAAACTCGGCGAACTCCGTTTCGCCACCAGATGGCTTCGTTTTATGTAACATTTCGTTTGGTGATCCCGCTTTTCTGTTGAAATTTTTCCTGAATTTTCTTTGCTATAAACCTCAGCCGGAGCCCGAGACCTTTCCAACGAATGCAAAACCGTGGAAATCGGTTCGTGCGTTCTGGAGTTATAGCGTCAGGAAGGAAAACCCGACTTATTTTTATATAGTAGATAACTCGAATTTCAAAAAGGAGACTCAATAAGTTGAAGTCAGTAAAATATAATGACGTCTTACTTGAAATTCCCCGAAATAAATGTTCGGGTTCGAAGCTTCTAATATATTATTATTGTCTTGTCCACGTGCAATGAATGAATACATTCATAAAAAAATATGTACTACTACACTAAGTTGAATCAAATTCGACTCTACAAATCGAAAAAAAATAAACTTAGATATCGCGCCTCTGTAAATCGAAATTTCAGCAGTTAAGTCATATGTATCTCGATGTTCTTGTTAAGTCGAAACGCGTCCCTTGAGTCATCGAGATTCCACTGAATATTGATTATAATAATCTATACATAAAATGGTAATAAACAAATAACTTACATGATGTATGAAATGTAAATTGTGGTGTTTGGTCAGCCGTCGACGGCACAGAACACAAGCCATCAGCGGTACCAGAATTCGGTAATGCTCGCCGCATAATGGTATCGTGTGCAGGCCGGGGTAGTCTCCGTCTAGCTTGAGCTGAAAGAATTTCATGTAAATTTATTACTATGTTAGTACTCATTCGTGAATCAGTATTAATACGTCTTGCGCCGTTGTAATTGTCTATTTCCATCATAGCGTACAATTCGATAGAAAGAGATGATAGGAATAGTCTATATTTATTTAAAAAAGATTTGCCATCGGACATTACAATAAAAGCTTTTTAAATTTACTTACAAAATCTAAAATATAAAAATTATTGTACAAAATCGTTTATTCATGTATGTAACTCAATGTACACTTATGAACATCAAAAAAGAAACATACATTAAATGCTTCTAATTTTACATTTACTGCCAGTTCTCAAATCAAGGGCGTAGAACGGAAGAGAAGAACTGGCAATAAACTCTCCGCCACTCTTTTTAATCGCCAAGTTTTTTTTTATACAACGTTTGTAAGGAGCTGCTAGTTTTATAATAAATAACATATACATGTACTCACCAGCTTATTAACACTGGATCTCATCTTAATAAGCCACTTGCGTCGTATGGAATGCTCCGCGGGTAGGACACACCCACTCGTGTGACAGGTGGCCAGTCTTCCCGGAGCCTCTGAGGGTTCCTCTTCGCTCTCTTCTTCCAGTGGGGGGCTCACTGGCTTATCAGTACCTCTGCAAAGGTGGAATAAGCACCTAAAGTTTATGTTCTTTAGGTATAGTATTTAAAACAAAAAGATTTCAAAAACAAAAATAGGTGGATATCTCAAAAACCACTGAACTGATTTTGATGGACTTGGAAATTTTAATTGCCGAGATATTTCGTTTCGAGAATTTTAGCACACGTGTATATATAATACGTATAATCACCTTTTTTGAAGTCGGGAAATAAATAAGTATCAATTTAACTTACGCATTATTAGGTGGTGAGGGAGGCTGCGGTACATCTAATGGTTTGCCCATGGGCCGCTTCCTGTATGATGGGCAGTTGGCTCTGCGGTCCACATGACGATAGCACGCGTCACATAGACAACTGTCAATTGTCAACTTCTCTTCGTCTGTGGAAAATATGTGTTGTGTTAAGAAGCAAACATTGCGCATTTTTTTTTTCTAATTCATAAAAAAATAATCTAATTTATTATAAATCTGATTATTATAACTATCTAAGCGCCATCACAATTTAATACATGGAGACAAAAGTGTACTTTATTAAATTGGGGGTGCATTTATTACTTACTGTCAAGCACTTTCTTCTGTCTCTCGCTACTCTTCATCTGCGCGATATGACAGGGCGTATCAAATAATCCGAATTTCCCGCCACAATAGAAACACTGGTCCATACACAATCGTCCAGGGTGGATGCTGAATGAAGACGCCTTCTCCGGGATAACCAGATTAACCGTTTCCTTTGGATCAGGTTCGGGTGCCGCTTCTGTGTCTAAAGAGGTTAATAGATATTAACCTAAAGGAATACACTTATTTAACACGGGATTTTTTTAATTTATAATAATTATCATTTAGACTGTAATCAACAAATTCAACTAATATGTGGTAGGATATCGCTGACCACAAATGCAAAAATACTGGAAGATATATGTACATATAATATTATTATAGAACCTCTATAAGTCGAACATCAAAGGAGACGCCAAAAATTCGAGTTATAGAGTTTTCAACTTATGGAGGATTCAAACGTTCCTTGCTATGCTTCCCACCATGGCATTTATCATTTTTAAAAGTTAGAGTCTTACCAGGAAGACATTTAAAAAACAGGCCTGTTTCGTCAGCATTGAAGATATTGTCAGGTTCGTAACCATGTAACAAATCTTGCAATTCACTTTTCCATTTGTTACAGGTTTCAATGTTGACACTTGCACTTTCCCCACAAACTTTTTTAAAAACAAGTTCCTGTCTTCTTTTGAATTTTTCTAACCATCCATTACTGGCTCTGAAATTAACGACTCCCAATGATTTAGAGAATATTTGGGCTTTTTCTTGTAACAGTGGTCCACTAACACAAATATTTTGGCTGCGACACTGCTCAAACCATTTAAGTAAGCACTCCTCCAAGCCCGGATATTTTGCAATTCGTCGTCTTTTGCAGGACAAACTTTGACCGTTTTGTATTTTTCTCATGATGTCTGATTCATTTTTATTATTGTTGAAAGAGTACTCATTGGCAGGCCAAATTGTTCAGCAACATCTTTCTTTTTTTGACAGCTCTTCACAGCTTCGAGCACTTCTAATTTTTCAGCAAGACTCAAAGTTTTTAGTTTACGTTTCACAGCACTCATGTTAACTGTTGTACTAATTGATGTGTATTGCAGTGGAACCAAACTACTTCTGACAGTATTTAAGTCGAAAACAAATTACTGGCTTAGCTAAATTTCAAAGGGAATCAAAATTGAACACCTGACACAAAGCAAGCAAACACGTGTTTTCATGAGTCATAAATTTATTATTGTATACTCCTAAAATGTTTTCTAAGAAACAATAGTGTACTCACATTGTCGGCAAATTCTTAAAGTCGGTAACTTACTTTTGTTCGAACAATAGAGATAATAAATTCCAAATGATCAAGTTGTAAAGGTTGTAAAATAAAACGTTCCTTTGTTCGAGATACAGAGGTCAAATTTAATTTTTCGAGTTATAGAGTGAAAATATGTACCAAAATGGCTTGTAGGGACTCGGTGATTATTTCGATTAACAGAGGGTCAAGATTTCAAGTAATGGAGGTTTTGGTGTTTTAAGGGAAGGGAACAAAACATTTTTTCGAGATTTGGAGGTTTTTGACTTATCGAGGTTCGACTTAACGAGGTTCTACGTATATAATTCTCGTGTCACAATGTTCGTTCCCATACTCCTCCGAAACGGCTCGACTGATTCTTATGAAGTTTTCTATGCATATTCAGTAAGTCTGAGAATCCACTACTATCTTTCAAACCCCTAAGCGATAAGGGACATTTACCGTATAAAAAAGATTAATTATGATACAGTATACAAAAATACATACAACCGTTAATTTTCACCCCTCTACGTTCTAACCCTATTTTTTAATATTAATTATTTTTTAGTAATTTTATTACTAAAAAATGTTTCCTAGAAATAATATAGACGTACATGGCAAAACAACGTTTGCGGGTCAGCTAGTATTATATATATAATATGTACATATATAAATTGGTGTTCGTCTCTCGCTAAAATTCGAGAATTGGACCGATTTGGCTAGATATATCTTGAATTATTTGTGGAAGTTCAGGGAAGGTTTAAACGGTGGGAAACATAAATAGTAAAGAAAAAGACCAATGAATTTTCCAATAAAAACTGTTCCTAGCTGGGAACTAGTTGAAGTTTTTTGTCTTTCAAGAAATAAAAAAAATAACTTAATTGTCATATATTTGTGTTTCGTAGCTGTTGTTATTAGTCCGATCTCTTTAGTCTGAGTTTGGATTAAGTTTTGACACAAATATATTATGTAGGTGATACAATGTTCGCTAGGTCATATATACGTAGTCGGTCCCAAAGTTCTGTCATAAATGGAAATAATCATAAAAACAAAAGTACTGATCAGTTTTTAATGAGTGATATATCAATTCATAGTACATTAATTAAGGAATAGAAATAGCATAAACTTATTCGAAATGACCTCCCTTATTTTTAATACAGGCCCTTAAGCGCCGCGGCCAGTCGTCTATCGCAGCACGCACCATATTCATGTCGATTTCAGTGACTGAGTTTTTTAAAGACGACTGCAGACTCTCCAAATTTTTATGGGGTGTATCACAGACCTTCCTCTCTAAGACCTGCTAAAATTTATAGTCCAAAGGATTAAGGTCCGGACTGGAGGAAGGCCAATCCTCATGTCTAATTAAATCGATGTTTTGACGCTCAAACCAGGCTTTAGTGGTCTTGGCTTTGTATGCAGGCTCAGAGTACTGCTGGAACACGAAGTGATGTCCCGCAAATAGGGTGCTGGACAGGTCTTTGACAAGGCGATCCAAAACCGTCTCTCGGTACACTTTAGCTCTGGTTTTGACCCCCTTTTGCAAAAAATGAACCTCAGTTAGCCCGTAATAGGACACTCCCAACCAGACCATTACTGATGATGGATGATGTCCATGTTGTACCCTTGGAACTTTATTTTTAGCTTCTTCAGAACTCCTAGCGTACACTGTATCAATCTGTTTATTGTACTTCTCTTCATTATCGAAATTTTTTTCGTCCGTAAAGAGGGATATCACGGTGTCGGTTTTTCGCGTACCGCTTAAACAACACCCGCGATCTCTTAAGCCTTATTGCTTTTAGACGAGCATTAAGTAAGTTCCCACTTTTTTTTTGTATGCTCGTAGACCAAGATCTTCATTTAAAACCTTTTTTATTGTTTTCCTACTGACAACCATCTGCAAAGCCATCAACTTCTGTTTTCGGACAGAATTTCTTACTATCCGCGCTTTGATAGCTTTGATTACTGCTGGTGTTCTTGCGGAGCGTGGCCGGCCAGTTATTTTCTTGTCCTCAACACTGGAGACTTCAAGGTACCTATCAATAGTACCGTACACAAACCTAAGCGTTATATTAAAATTTTTGAGCAACTTGAAAATGGTACTCGGCGAGTGCCCACAGCGGTGCAACACAATAACAACTATTCGGTCTTCTTTCAATGTCCACTCCGTCGTGAAAACTTACTGAAAGTTATTGTTTTTTATTTTAAAACAATAGTCAAACATTCCAAAATAGAATGCAATAACTTTTTTATAAAATCCTGCTCGAAATATAGAAATAATGTGCCAGTGACAGAACTTTGGGACCAACTACGTACATGTATATTGTATATATTATGAATATCCTTTATTATATATTTAAATAAGAAGTATTTGTAAACTAAAGAGAAGGATTAATATATTGTTAGCGGACTAACGCCATTTTGTAGCAGAAACCTATATAAAGCGTGGCAACACCGGCGTTGACTCACTTTTATTTCTAGACTTCGTGCGAACGGGCTTGTTGCTAACCTAACCTCGGTAGATTTTAAAAGTCTAAAGTACCTACACGTTCTTATCTTTTATGTTTCCTAATATCAGAATTGGGATTTGAACTTTTCGCTCACTTCTCTTTTGTTTTGTTTTGAGTAATCTTTGTGGTTTAAATTTTCCTTCTCTTTGTGTCCGTAATGTACGAAGTCACGAGTGATTAACATTTTAAAAGTGCTCTTTGTTTTAAAGTGTTGTTTGTGTTTGTCATGAGAGTGCAACAGTGTCGCATTAAATTTGGGATCGTCTAGTCGGCAAGGTAGACGAGAGATGCTTTGACAGAGGACGGCCGAACGGTTGAAGAACAGTCAAATCAATCAGGACACTGTCGTTAATGTGGGTCGTAGACCCCCCCTTGTAAATTCCAGAAGGATGATCTGGTCTTTGTTATTAAGAACATGCAAAGGTATGGGTTTCTGTTTTAAATTTTTGTGGTGCTAATGTGTTTAGACCACTTTGAGAACATACAAGTGTATGGGTCTCTGTTTTAAGTTATTCTGGTGCTAATGTGTTTAGACCACTTAGAGAACATGCAAAATGTATGAGTCTCTGTTTTAAAAAAAAATTGTCGCTTATGAGAGCACTAGGAGCCACTGTCGATACGACGGTGTATTGCAAATACTGAGTTGTCTTTATTTGTGTTAAGTCTGAAGCTATCTAATTCTGTAATATTTGCTTTTTGAAAGATCAATGGACAGGGTAACCAGTCCCAAACTCACGATCTTCCTGTATAAATTGTAAAAAGATCAATGGACAGGGTAACCAGCCCCAAACTCACGATCTTCCTGTATAAATGGTAACAAGATCAATGGACAGGGTAACCAGCCCCAAACTTACGATCTTCCTGTATAAATTGTAAAAATATCAATGGACAGGGTAACCAGCCCCAAACTCACGATCTTCCTGTATAAATGGTAACAAGATCAATGGACAGGGTAACCAGCCCCAAACTTACGATCTTCCTGTATTAATGGTAAAAAGATCAATGGACAGGGTAACTAGCCCCAAACTCATGATCTTCCTGTATGAATGGTAAAAAGATCAATGGACAGGGTAACCAGCCTCAAACTCACGATCTTCCTTTATGAATGGTAAAAAGATCAATGGACAGGGTAACTAGCCCCAAACTCACGATCTTCTTGAGAAATAAGTAGACCTTTATACCTTATATCTACTCTTATGGTGATACTAAACTTGTGATTGTTTACACAAGTCCTTTACACATGAAAGTGCTAGTTTGTTTCAAATCTTGTAAGGGTTATGAATAATCTTTCACTCATTCCTTGGAGTCTGATACTTTAAAGTTCCTTTCTATCTTTCATTACTTTGATTGTTTGTATTAAACCAAGTAAATATGTTCAGCTGCTGACCAAATAGACGACGCAATACCTTCCCAGAACTGTAATGTTCTAACGTTCTATTCTACCCACAGAGATGACAGTATAGACGCTGGAACATCAAATCCTGACGAGGACGTCAGGGTGTCAGGAGAGGCCGTGTTAGCGGACTAACGCCATTTTGTAGCAGAAACCTATATAAAGCATGGCAACACCGGCGTTGACTCACTTTTATTTCTAGACTTCGTGCGAACGGGCTTGTTGCTAACCTAACCTCGGTAGATTTTAAAAGTCTAAAGTACCTACACGTTCTTATCTTTTATGTTTCCTAATAATATATTATAATATTTCAGATTATTTATTTTTTCAGAACCCCCTAAATTTCTAGCGAAAACTCAAAACTCTGAATCACATACAACGACCACTATTGAGGCCTTGACTTGTTTAAGCTATCGCGGAATATGCTTAAAAGGAGTATTAAGAATCCATAGCGCTAAATCACCTGCATCATGAGCACACCACATACACACCATCACACAACACAGCCAAATTAGGCATAACGTATTTAATAGTTTTGTTTTTTTCCTTTCGTAAATATTTGAACCATTTTGTATATACAGTGAATTTTGCGTGTAACGAAGGGACCACTCCGATTTCGTCGTTAAAGACACGTACATGTGTTTATATTAATTTATTATTGAAAACATTTGTACACAGTTATTCACTGGTACATTTGAAAATTCTGTAATATTAGTTTGTTTCGATTTTTTGTGCTTGTGTACGCTTTAGATTGTATAGATATTCTTTCCACCAAATAAACAATGTCTTTTAGGCTTTGTGATAACACCTAACACATCCTCAGTTGTAGGAATCTCACCTTCCTTACCATCTTCTTCCTCCTCATTTTCCTCATTTTGGAGCGTATGTGATGGTACAACAGTTTCAATAACTTCACTATCGGATGTTTTTAGCCAGTTCTCACACTGTGAGACTGACTAGTTTGCGATACACTAGCGGCTTTTCCAAAAACTTTGCCTACTAAAATATCGTGTCGTTGACGAAATCGGTAGATCCAGCTTTCCGAACACTCAAAATCCATTTTTCCAAATTGCCTGGCAATATGATTACCCTTTTCTTTCAGGAGACCGCTTTACCGTTTTGGCCTCTTTTGTCTATGACCCACATAAGAAGGGCATTTTCGACATCTTGATGCCGACGTATTGCGGATTTTCTTTCACGGTTTTCCACATCGTAGTTATTGTTGAATGGGAAACGTATTCTTTGCACAAATCAGTATTGTTTTCACCGTTTTTCAATTTTGATATGATTTTCGCCTTTTCGTTTGACAGTGAATGAGCGTCAAACAGCCATACTTATTCAAAAGTTTACTTTACCCTGTTTCTAGTCAGAATGTCACTTTGAAACTGACCCATACATTTAACTCCAAACGTAAACGCTTACCTACCTACTTAGCTGATAATACACCCCCATTTGAGGTTAAATCTGGCTACAGTAGCTGGCCAACTGTGTGAATGTAAGCAAAAGATAAGAAATGTTTGTGAAAGAAATAAAACTGTGTGTCTTTAGCTCTCCGGTCGCAATATCTGCATGTGATTTCTAGTAATTCGTTACAAATGATTCATTAAAAACAGTCACTACACCCTAGCTTGGCGTTACATCATTTTATTAGCATTTATTAATTACAAAAGGAAAATGTTACCTAATGGGAATTCCAATTAAATTTTATAGATAGTAGAACAAAATGATAAAAAACCACCACCAGATGTTATGAATTGGTTAGTTGGTGTTAGATAACGAAGGTTAATCAAAATAACATGTTATTCGCAAAAACAAACGTATCTCGGAATCTTCTATAACTACACATCTATTACAGCTTCCTTTAGTAGTATGACTGAGTTGGAGGGCGAACGAACAGTAATATTTACATATTTTGTAATCGTTTTAACTTGATTTAAACCCTTGATAATATTCAACTAAAAAATATTCAATTAGAATTAATAAATTTCGCATTTCATCTTTTCGATCAATTAGAATTAAGAGTAAGTTGCCTCAAAGTAGGAATTACACCAACGAGTCGTATTTGCAACGACTGGTTGATAATTCTGTGGCAAAGAACAAATACCTTTAGCTTCACATATAATTATCAAATCAATGTATACAAAATATTGTAAAAACTATTTTAAAAGAGTAAGTATGGAGTTTCTTCCATTCCATCGCCCATTCTTCTCCATATTAGAAAGGGCAACTAGAGTCATATTTTTAAATTTTAATTTGGCTTTCAAAAGTACCTTTTTAATAGGCCTAATTGAAAAAACAATTATTAGAATTTTTTGACTTAATTTCCGATTATTTGGTTAAGTCTACATCGATTATATCAATTTCAGACATCAATAAATTTATTTCCATACGTTTGGTATAGTTTGGTACACGAATCGTATATACATTACGCTGCTTAGTATTTAATAGTAATGTTTACTTTTAATTGTAATTTGAAATCACGCATTCAGAGTTAGATTTTAGTTTTAAACATGCTATTTACATATTATGGGCCAAACAATTTTATTTTACAAGTGTTTTGCTGTTCAACACTTAAAATAATTATGAAATTTCAATCAAAATTATCAAGTTTAATAAAAATAAGACGAATCTTAACTCATTAAAAAATGTTTTTTGTTGTTAAAATTGTTGGTTGGCTCATACAAAATTAATATTAGTTAATGTCCACAAACCATGATTGTTACTTCTATTACTGTAATGTGACTTTCTGTGCCCACCGTCCAATGTTGCGCCTGCGACACCCTGCAAACAAAAACATTTTTGTCAATTTTCTCAATAAAAACATGTATAACGAACATCTATAAAATTATTAAACCAGTGGCGCTACAACCTCTTTAGGTCTTGGCCTCAGATTTCTGAATCTGTTTCATGATCATTTTTAAATCTAATAGGCAAGTAAGTGATCAGCCTCCAGTGCCTGACACACGCCGTCAACTTTTTGGGTCTAAGATGTCGGTTTCCCACGATGATTTCCTTCACCAATCGAGCAAATGTTAAATGCGCACAAAGAAATAAAGTCCATTGGTGCATAGCCGGGGATCGAACCTACGACCTCAGGGATGAGAGTGCTAGGCCAACACTGCTCTAACTCTAACGAACGAACATCTACAAGATTAGTAAAAATAACTTAAATCTATTAAATAAACTGGGCAACATCCTTATCAACAAGCTTTATTAAGTTACACTAAAGATTTCTATGATGAGCTTTCTTCCCAAAAGTCTTTTTCACACATCCAACCCAGGTTAAATGTATTTATACAAACCCAGAGTTTAATCAATTTTGCTATGGAGGTTTTATATAAAAACAAATTTCAAGTTCAAAAAGCTCAGGTTAGGAGCTTTATGCTAATATTATTTATTAATATAGGTTAATAAATATGATCCTATCCTGTTTATTGATTAGCAAATTAAGAACAAATATTAGCTATTTTCCGTTACTAGTGTGTTTCTAATTAAGTTCCTAGATTTAATGTAGTTTTAAGGTACTTAAAGGGTGAACAAAATATATTTCAACCTACTACTACTTACTATCTGTCTAGAACCATTTTAAGCAAGTAGGTAAGAAGTCTATTGTACCTTGCAAAAGAAGCAATAATTGTCTTGGGAGCGGGACCCAGGTCTTTTGTGTTATATGCAACATATTAAATGAATAGTAACTTGTAATAACAAAACGAGTTGAAACAAATGATATATATACAATCAAACATACACATTTTTTTATGAGAGTTAATCAATTCGTAAATTTATGGTTTAACTATAATATTAAAATGACAGTTACCTCTCGCCTTTCTATGGTGTAGTAGGCTTCGTCATCGCAGCCAGCTTCTCCAACCTCCACTAATGGCTTGCCCCGATGTTTGCTTTTTTGAAAGGTCATTTTTAAGGAACTCCTGTGCCTCTTCTTTTCACCTCGGTTCAATTTTATCACAGTCTTCAAAGTGCCCGTGTAATCTGACTTAGAAGCTTTTCCCTTCCCCATGATATTGTAGTTTGCCCCATAAATTAGCTCCTTTTCTTTCAATTTCTTTGCTTTAGCTTCATTTGCTGCTTTATGTGTTAATAAACCTAACGTTCTTAGCACGTTCTCCTTTCGTTTTTGACTCTCTGGTGTCTCGTGAAGAAGGTTGCTAGGTCCTGGCATTTCCGTTGAACTACGCGATTTGGTTCTCGTAACCGGCTTTGATAACTTCTGGTCTTCTATTTTGACGGAGGTCTCAGTTTTAGGTTTGTTAAGTTGTACAGTTTTGGCTTCTTCAGGCTTCTCAGCCACGGATGGCTCAGGCTTTTTGACATCCTCTGCCGGCTTTGCGTCAATTTTCTCTTCGGATTTTACGATGGTCTTAGTTACATCAGTAACAGCTGTAGGGATGTCAACAGTTTCCATTTTTTCAGCTTGAACAGTTTCGGAACTGGATATGTTTTCAGGAGTTGACCTAACATCCACCAAAGGGGGTGCTAATGCTTCGGTTTCAACAGGCTGTGTCACCTCAGGCGACCTTACAGCAACGGGCGTTGCCGTGATGGAAATTTCAAACTTTTTGATTTGTTGTGGTGATTTAATTTTTTCCAATGTAGCCATTTTATCATCTATATCGGCGCTCGAGCCAGACGACTTCCGCGATATAGACTCTCTGGAATTACGCTTCATAATATGAATATCAGAACAATTTAATTTCGATTCCACATTTCGGGGTGTTATAGATATTTGGCTGGAATCTAGTGTAACTCCGCCTATAGTTTGTGTAGGATTGTTGGGTTGTAAAGTTGCAAACTGATGTAAGTCGACTTGTGGCGACGGTACCGGTTTATCAACCGATTTCCGTATTTCTGTCAATGTCACATCTTTGCCCAGGGATTTTTCAAATATACTAATGGCATCTGATTCCTTTGAGTGATTGGAACTGGTAGATTCTTTGCGCGCACTGACGCTGTTTCGTTTTATTAAGGTAACTGAATTCGGAAGATCGACCTCTATTGACCGACGAACTTGATCCCGTTTAACTATAGAAATAGCAGAGTTATTTTCGAAACAGCTTAAAACATTTTCTTTTTCAATAAACCTTTCTGGTGATTTCTCAGGTTGCATATCTTTTAAGGGCTTAATGTCTGCCCCAGACTTTGGTATTAGAACGACGTCGTTTGTAACCATGACGGTCTTATCATTTGATTTGGATTCTGATTGTTGTCTCTTCCTTCGCTTATCAAACTCTTCGAACTCTTTCAGTCTATCCATTAACTTATCTATGCTAGCTACTGTTGCACGTTTGTAAGTTATTTCAGGCTTACTTTCTGAAGATTTTTCTTCTGAATCTTCATAGTGCAATCTTATATTTTCACTATCATCCTTGATGGGTGTGCCTTCATTGGCAATTTGCATGCTAGGTTCTTTTTCTTTAGCGGGAGTTTCACTAACAATACTGTTGTTATCTCCTAAAGGTTTTGATAATCCATAGAATTGGCGAACTGATTTTGATTGCATCTGATCAACTACCATTGAATTACTCTCAATTGTGCTTTCCTGATCACAGTCTATGTTCTGGTCCAAGTTGTGAATGAGATCAGTGATCTCCTTAGACAAACTGTCAACAGTATCTATAGGCTCTGATATTTCAGTATCTAAAGAGTTACTTTTCCCTACTTGATTGGCCCCGGCCCGTGGTGTTGTGGCAGTCTTCTTTCCTCTTCTTGCTTTCCTTATATTTTTGGAAACTTCCTTTGAATTAAATGTCTTGGACATACAATTTAAAATACTACTACGATCCTCTAAAAGCTTATCATTTTCAGTCTCAAACAATTTGAGTTCAATATCTGCTGTATTTAAATTGTTAATCTTAACTCTATTACTATTATTGTTGTCAGAATCTAATGAAGTACTTCTTTTTAAGCTCAATCTTCTTTTGTCTTTCTCTAAGGAACTAGGTTCTGGGTCAAGCTTTATTTCTGGTTTGGAGTCAACATTTGGGGAAGGCACTTTTTCAATAGTTGAGATCTGTACATTAGTATCAATATCTACGTCTAGTTCAGTCTTAGGTTTATCTGTTTTCTTGTTGAGCTCCTTATCAGGTTCAGTAAGCGTTTCATTTAAGCTTATGTCAGACTCTGTAATATCTGAGCATTTTGAGATTTCACTTCCATCTCGAGAGCAGGAGCGACCCCTTTTTATTCTTTTACAGTCTTCTGAAGAATCTGGCATTTCTTGTTTTGAATCTGATGGGAGCCTTGTCCGCTTCTTTTGTTCTTTAATCACAACTTCATTTAAAAGATTGTTCTTTAGCTTTCTAGGTTTCCCGCTCCTCAAGTTTTTGCCTTCAAACAATGAAGGACTATTACTTCTTTCAGACCGCATAGAATATGGGCTTGTGCGGGGGCCAAGAATCAAGCTACTAGGAGAGTCTCCAAGAACAGATTTCATCATGAGCATATCAGAGCTTAATCTGGACCGACGACCTGCTGTTTTAGGACTGGATGACCTAGAGTTGGGTGTAGTATCGTCAACTGGCTCTTTTTTAATTTCAGAAGCAGGTATCAAAGGGATTGCTTCCTTCTCTTGAGAATTATCAGGCTTCTTTAATGGTTTCCTACCTCTTTTTGCTTTTTGCTTGATAACATTTTTCTTTATGACTGGAACCTTTTTACTTCTTAATTTTTTTGTTTTTCGGATACCAAGTGGCCGTTTCCTTATTACACCTTTAGGTTTTGCCACAGGCTTTTTAGTTTCTTGAGGAATTTTAGCTTCATCCTGACTTGCTTTTGATTTCTCTTCTTCCAAGTCTGAGGCCTTTTTTCTTGCTCGAGTTTTTGGCTCAACAGTATCCTCATCAATACTCTTGTCAGTTTCTTCTTTAGGCTGTTTAGTTTTCATGTTGGAATGTAGAATGAAACTCTTTCCTGTTCTTCCGACATTAGGGAACTAGTAGTCAACCCTATAACTTTTAACTCCTTGTATGTGCAGATTTATACAACAAATGAAAGAAACTATAGTCTATGTATGTTCCTTTGTATTAAAATATATAATATCTCTGTTATAATCCTACTTAAATATGTGCACACTAGAACAATCTGAAGAACAAGCTCCTTCTTTTCTTCTGGTGTTTAATCATAATCCCAATAATTTTTATCTGAAATTAAATTTCATAAATTAAATACAACTGTTACTAGGAATATGAAAAGAAATAATAAGTTACTTTAGTATTAAATGAAATGTTTCCAAATTATGTTTGTAGTAGTATAATAGTAAAATTAATGTTTAATTAAGGTAAATGCACACAATACTGTATATTTATAGTTTCATTGTAACATAAACATCTAAGATATTGTAATAATTAAAGTATATCCGCCATAAATCGTGCTTTAATTACGTGATAAACAAAAGCAAAGCACGTTAGTCACTAAAGTTCGCGCACAATTTTGACATATTTTTAGTAAGAAATATCTCATATTTATACATTAAAAGATAAAGCCGATGTTTGAAAATACGAAAAACAAAATAATATTTACGTTTGAATAGTCCAGTGCGCAAAAATAATGTTCGGAAAAGTCATGAAAATCGTCATGTTTTGATGTTCATATGACCGCAACGCCACCTACAGCTGAGCGCTGCGTGTGCGTCGACTCGGGCGAGAGACAGAAAGCACCAAATCATTTCCCTACCCGTGGCGCACCTCCGTTATGTACTCATTAAATACTCACACTTTATTCCACGAAACTCCCAAAAACCACAATAAAAAGGTAATTAAACACTTAATGCACCATAATATGCGAAAAAGTTCAATAAAAACACGCAAATAAACTTAGAAAACGATTTTTGAAAAGCCCAAATGTCTGCAGGCGTCCGCCATAATGTTTCCTTCGAAACGAATAATATAGTTCTTATTGCTCTTGTAGCAAGCAATCGCTCTATTCGCTATTCAAAATGGCGACCGTGTGGCGTTCACAGTGCGCGTTTGCACGATTTTTTGCTGGAAAAACCGGGTTGATCCTGAACAACACTGCAGATTTGGGTTCAAAAGTACGCCCGGATTCAATATCGGTAATTATTTAATTATTTACACCCGCGTCTCGTTGTAATGTCGTTTTGGCCGCGACATGTGACAGAACTATGGGCGTACACTCGCCAAAACAAGTTTGTGTCAAGTTTTTTTTGCAGTATAATATTTTCAGGTTGTAAAAAATGTTATTGTTTGTTTGTTGGATGTTGGTTTTATTAATTCTACTTTTATTTTTATATATTATATTCATAACCTATTTCAAATACCCCATTTTTATTATTACAAATAATAGGTTAACAATGTAACCCAAAAAAATTAAACGTTCCTCTTTTTTCAGGTTTCAAAAAGACTATACTCAAACTATGGAAACTCTCCTTTTGTAAGGAGAATACAGGAACAGTATGAGTTTGAAGTAGTAAAAAATCCGCCAGAATGGTCTTACGTTGAAAGACTTCTACCATTTGAAGGCATACCAAAAGTAACACCTAAGGAATCTTATCCTTCTGGTTGGATTCCACGAAAAGAAGAAGCGAGCAATTTGCCATATTTTCTTCAGAGAACAAAAAATGAAGAATTATCTATATATTTAGATATATCTTGTAGAGGGATGCGAAAAATTTCCAAAGTGAAAAAAATCGAAGGGGATATTTGGTTACTGAATGATGAGTTAAAAGAGTACTTGAAAAAGAGATATAATCGTTACATCGAATCCAGAGTTCATGAATTATCTAAATTTATTGAATTTAAAGGGGATTATGTCAATGCTTTGAAAGAATGGGCGCATAGTAAAGGATTCTAGTGCTTTGAATAATAAATAAAGTAATTTTAGTCTATTGTTTGTTTATTTTATTCCCCTTACTCTATTTTAAAGATCTTAATTTTCTAAAATTAGGGCTATAGTCGAGGGCTAGGTTTTAAAAATATATTTAAAAAAAAAACAAATAATTTACGGTCAATAATTTCACTGTTCCTTAAATTTTATTACAAAACTACTATATATGTTTAACAATTATTACGTAGTTAGCTAATTAGTTATTTTTAACTAAATTAAAAGTTAATGTTCATATCTAGCCATGATTAATATTACAGACTTAGTTATTAATTATTACATATTTACATATTCTTATTAATCATCGAACAAGCAAAAACGCCAAAACGCGAATGTCAACAAAATGTGCAATGAATAAATAAAGCATCGAGACACGCTGCCGAAACTTGTTTTGCTTAGGGTACGCAGCATGAAGTTTATTTCATTCAGTCACCACTAGGGGCGCTGGCGACGGCGGAAGGTTTTATCTACGTAGCTATATAACATCCGCTTCTGGGCCTCACTACATGATATATTTTATTTTCGACTCGACCACACTTCTTTGTTCGAAACAACTTTTCTATATCTTATTGCGTTTGCCAAGCGCTTTGACATGATTTTCAGTATATTATGGGTATTTTAAAGGTTATTAGCATTAAAACTACGGCTTATGAATGTTTAAAGTTAAGTTCGTAACGTGAGCAAGGAATCAATAACATTTACGGATTGATTACGTAATAAGATAAATGATTAACTAGCTAGGTAATGTCCAAGGTCGTACGCTTTCAGAATGTTATTGTACACCTGTAATTATAATCGATTTAAAGGGTTGTTTCTTATTATAACTTGTGTATCAAGAATATTTAATTAAGCGTGGTTCTGATTATTATTATCAGCTAAACGTATAGTATGTAAATGATGTATGCGACGTCAAATATATGTTGTATACATACATATTCACTGTCTATGTATTCGTTATGTACGTTGGCTCGTCTTTTAACACGAATCGTCCACGTTGGCATCTTTTTATCGATTTTAAAACTTTATTTTGCTCCTTTTCTTTGTGTTTCTGTAGGTTTTGAGTTACAGGGGATCGTTTATGAGTTAGATTTATTAATTATAGCTGGTTTAGATATTTGACCTTGGCAAAACACGCTTTCATATTTATCATTAGTTACATAATGTGGCAGTTAGATTTCATTATTAGGTTATGTTGAAAAATATGAAATGTATTTTGTGGATTAATAGATTTTACACGTTTCTGTTGCTACAAGTTAAACTAATAAATTCCCTTCTCTGGACTAGACTCTCTAGTCTAGACTGTAGGTATCGACGTAATAATAGCTGGTAATCGTAAATTGACTTGGTTTTGAAAGTTTATTATGTAAATATTTTTTTATTAAGGTTTGTATTTTCAAGGACATTATATAAATGGTATGCATAGTTTTGTTGGAAGGGCGTAACACACGAAGAGTTATAAAGAAGAGAAGACAAAAGAAGATAATTAGGCTTATTTTGTATTAAACGTGAATAATATTTCTATTTATTTTTAATTACAAAATCGAACGAACTAATGCCTAAGCAAACATAATACAAATGCAAAGGTCATAGCAAGAAATTAAAGAATTAGAAATAATGCAGCTTCTATTTGTGTAATTCAAACCCTCTAACTTAACCTAACTTTAAACGTATAATAAAACCTAACCTCACCCAAACAAAAAAACACGCCATTTACCGAGTGCTAAAAAAATTGTTGCACCTATCCTCTTGTCTCGTTCAGTCAAATTGCATTTACGCCATGATGAAAAGAGACAGTGCGTTTGTTCAGATGGTGAAATTATATCCATTTAGGTTTCATGTAAGGGGGTAGGTATATATAAAAACAAAATACAATTTCCGTTAAAGGATTTTAAAAGTTCTTGGGGATTTGTTGTAAATGCCTAACAATTTGTTTAGAACGATTCTGGATCATTTAGGTTTTATTATGTATTAAAAATATCTCTGGAGTCTAAGTCCATATGTGATCTATTTATTTTATATATAACCTTCTACTAAATCTACTTAAAATTGGCATATGTTGAATATGAATGACCTGGTATGTCCCAAAAACTCTTTAAATAAAGGTCACCTAATATTCTACGAGTCCATGGTTAATCTCTATTGAGACTGGCAATGTCCAGTGTACCAAGGAGGATAATGCTCATGTCTGTGCAGACATAGTCTGTGGATATTCCCTAGTCTGTGGATGTCCAAGACGACCTTCGAAAGACCATATTCGGATTAGATAGCTGACGGTAAAGAACAGGGATGAAACATGACCAACTTTCTAACTAAGGGAATAGAAAAACCGCAAATACGTAGTTATCTTTCGGACCCACCCTGCATTGTAGCTTTGAACCTGTCATATGTTCAAACTCAAGCTATGTCTATTGTTCATCAGTTAATTAAGTTTAAGAACTATCTTTACTCGGTGAACAGAAAGAAACTAGCTGACCCATTTTATATTATATATATTTTATACTTATTTGTATGCGAACGAGTGGTTAAAACTAATGTTAACGTACCTACGTTTTCTTACATGTTTAGTCGTTAAACCGCTGAACTCATTTCAATTGAAATATATTGAAAACAAAGCCTTATTATGACATTCTGTTAATGTTATTATTATATGAGATTATAAAAATAAATATGACATTTCCATGCCTATTTATATGTGGCTGATTGTGCGGATTTTTATAATTAATCGACCACTATCTTGGCAAATAAACGATTAATTATTATTATTAAAAAGTCACAAACATTGAGTAGAAGCTCCTCCAGGAAGTGATGTTTCAAGATTTATGTCTACTTCCGAAAATCACTTACAAATATTTATTTAATTTCATATGTTAACATGTTTGGATTTTACTAAATGCTTAGGTGTAATTAAATGGTAATCATCGTCGTTTCTAGGAAGGTCATTAATTAATGACGAAATGCTTAGAAATACCTAATGTGTTTTACAGCTAGTTTCATAAACTTTGATGATAATTTATTTTTATAAACAAAAGTTGTTTTCTATACTTA